TAGATTATAATCACATAATAAAATTGTAATAATAATAAGATCATAATATAATAAAAATCCTTACAAAATAAAAATAAAACGAAAATCTTGTGCATCCTAAATTATATTTGAACATTACAAGCATATATCATTTAGCCTTTTAAAAATAAAAATTAACAGTAACAAAATAAACAAAGCATAAACTCATTTCCAATTAAAAGCCTAACTTTTTCTTATTTAAAAAAATGAAAAAAAATAATTTTTGACTGATTTTTGCCACCAAAGTTTGACCTGCCTCAGATCGCCTTGGACCACCTAAAACAACATCACATGCAAAAATCGATTTTTCAAATTTTTACACTAAAATCATAAAGGTTTTAGACTGCCTCCGCCTCGGAGACCGACTAATCGACCGCCTCAACTGATTTTTAGAACACTGTCTGCAATATCAGTATGTCACTCATACACCAAGACTTTGTACTCGATATGAGTAAATCATTTAATATTGTACAATTTGGGCCCAAATGTTACGAATCCTTACATATTATGTTGAAACATGTATTTAATCATCGTTTATAGTCGCTAGGTTAACCATTTATGTATTATATAATTAAAAATCAATAAATTAAAACATTAAAAAAACATGTACTATTGAAATGTACACTGATATGTATGTCTTGGGAACATCAAACGTGCTCGTTCTAGCCGAATGTATCACTATTTATGGACATACGTTTGGTAATGTCCTTCAATTAAATTTTTTTGGAGTTTAAAATGATAAATGTGTATCTTGCATTCATTCAATTATGTGTTCTACAGAAAATGGTCATTTCTAGCTATCTACATCAAAACCTTGTACTCAATATAAATATATAATTCAATTTCAAAGCATCTTTGGCTTAAAATGTTATAAATCCTTATTGATGATGATATAAATAAATCACTTTAAGTATTGAAGGTAGAAGGAGCTGGGAGAGCAAAGTGCATCACTGCTCACGTGTTAGATGATCCTGAGATACCTGCGAACAGAGAACACGTGAACTAGGCCGGGGGTTGATCCAACGGAAACCCCTCCGACGTTCAAGTCAGACGTGTGGATAGTAGAAATAGTTGATAGGATACGAATTTTAGAATTGTCCAGATAATAGAGCGTACATTTAATAACTGAATTAAATCGTTATTTATACATTGTCGATTGGGTTGAGGTTAATTTGTTGGGCCAAACCTTAACTGAAGGTGATTGGGCTTTCGTAATAGTATTCTTTTAAATCGGGCTCGTGGCCAAGTAAATAGAGAAATTGTAAACTTATTAGCCAGACCCAATTAAGCATAACACTTATATATTTTGTTCAAATATGTTCTTAAATAAATTTTACAGTCGTTACACTATTAATGATTATTTAAAAAAAATTAAAATCAATAAAACAATTGTGTCATACATTTAACACGAACGTATTCCATGAAATGGGTAGATGTATCGCCGATTGCTAAAGAACATAATTTGTTATGCACACAGGAACGTATGGTTACTCATAACAAATGTTTGTCGAAATATTAATTTTTGTCGAGTGTAAATTGAAACAAATGTACATTACCCTCAAATATTGAGTTATCGACATGGTTCGCTATGTACCCAAATATATAAAAGAATGTCACTTTCTTAAATAATGTATTCTTAGGTCTTCTATTACGAAGAGAAAAGACAGAGCATGCTACACAGATACTCTCAGCGGTCTGAAGTTATTTTATTAGTTGAAGTCGAGAAATAATCAGTCACCGGCCCTTATCGCTTTTCGGCGCCAAACTCACCGACATCATTGTTATGGCGATGGTCTGACGGTATCTTGGATTTTTTTTATATCTTAATGGTTGCCGATTGTAACTCGAATTCCTTCACAATAGCTTCAACCAAGTCCTACAATAGCCAACAAATTTGGGAGGATAAAGTAAAATTCTCGTCAATTAAAGTTGAATCGGTAATGTAATCAACCCATGTATAGTATGATTAGTTGTAAGTTTACAATGGGAAAACGGGGCATCGGCCCTGGCCCAAGGTCTCATTTGAAAAAAAATGTTATAAGTTATGCATTCATAGGGCAAATTACGGCGACCCGCTGATTTATGGTCAAATTACGAAAACTCCTCTCTTGTTTCAGTACTTACTACCCCTTAACTATGTATTATCTTATGAAAAGACTCCCCCAGAGGTAAGTTTAGGGATGTAAATTCGATAAAACCGAACCGAAATTTCAGTACGCCAACATTTCATACCGTTTATCGAACTAAATATACGACTTGGTTTGATAAATAACCGAATCACATAAATTTTATGTAAAAATATTTAAAAGAAGGTGGCGGTTGTAATTACCCAAACAAGAGGGATATTTTGTAATTTAGTCATACATACCTCATGAATGGCCGTAATTTGCCATATATTTATATATTGTTTTAATTTGCTCAATTTTATTTCTATTTGTTTTCCTTCTCATCTATCCACATCACGCCATCACTCATTGAAGGTATTGAGTAAATTAGTGCAACATAATGGTTTCCACTTTTCTAGGTTCTTAGGCCATATACAGAAATAATTAATACCTACTTTTAAATCATAGATGACACTTTACGAGATTTTGACTTGAGATCATTTAAAAGTGAGTTGTTGTCGAGAGACAAGAATTGTGATTATTGTGATGTTTTGCTGAAAATATTGTGTTCAATGTTTAGAGTAATTTTTTTTCATGTTATTCACTTTTAGTCTCTCATTTACCGTCGTCAATAAAATACACTCTAAAATTACCATATTTTAATCCATTTGGTGTCTCCGTCTGTTTGATCATCAACAAATAACAGTCAATGGTTGAATTAGTCGAAATTTGAGATTTTTCTTTGAGAAACTTGTAATAAGACCACTGTATTATATCAAAATATTATAATTAAAACCCCTAGAATTGCATCCGATTTTAATTTAACTCTAATTTTATTAATTAATCAATTTTGACCAATCATCCCCATTTTTACCACCGTTACCGTTTACCGCAGTTGATTTATTTAAAAAAAATTAACTTCTAATCGCAGTTGATTTTTTTTTTAATATTATTTAATTTAGGTACCGTTCACCGACTTTGAATTGGCTGATAACTACGTCAACTTTTTTCTTTTTCTTGCTTTTAATTTTTACCTTTTCTTTTCCGGCAGAATGAGTTTTTTAGTCCCGTAAGTTTATCAGTTGGGAGTTTTAGTCCACCATGTTTCAAAGCCAAAATTTTAGTCCTGAAGTTACAAAAGTTGGGAAATTCGGTCCTATGACCTGCTATAATAGGTAATGTGATGATTGGTTGAATGAGTTGGCATTTAAAATATAAAAATAAATAGATTAAAAATAAGTTAGGTGATGTTGCTAATGAGTTGGACAATTTTAGAGGGAAATAAAACATACTATCAATTTTTATTTTATTTGACGAATGAAATAAGCATTTTGATGTAACCATTTTTTAATTAATAAGTCATAGTTTTCAATTGATAAAAATTGTAAGTAACTATATTTTATTACTCGTTATGGATATTAGTTACTCTTGGTTTGATAATGTATTTTATGTTTGGAGGCTCTAGAAAGTTTTTTTGGTACATTTAATTTTGAATATATTTTATTGTCTTTTTGGTTAATTCGTAAATGTGTATTTGATGTTTTATACTAATTATGATTGTGCATGTTATTTAACTTTACAACAAGTTTTAATAAATGGTTTTTTTCGTATTTTTGTTGAATTTGATTGTTAGTTCTTTTTCATTGTAATCACTAAGTATGGATTTGTAAGAAATGAAATATTTAGATAAATATGAATTTAATTACTATTTTTATCAAATAAAAACTAAGAAATATTTATTACACATTAATTAGTCTTATTTTAAATTTTCCTCATTATTTTGGTGAATTTGATATGGAGGATCAAATTTCTCTCCAAAATCATTCAACTCATTAGCTATCACCTAATTTATTTTTAATCTATTTATTTTTATATTTTAAATGCCAACTCATTCAACCAACCATCACATCACCTGTTATAGTAGGTCATAGGACAAAAATTCCCAAATTTTATAACTTATAGTACTAAATTTCTGATTTTGAAACATGATAGACTAAAATTCCCAACTCGTAAATTTACAGGACTAAAAAACTCATTTTTCTTTTTTTTTTCCTGATCACAATATTATTACTTTAATTAATATATTAATGCCTAGCAACGTAATAGTAGAATTTCATACTGCTAGCAAATATTTTATCTTAAATTTTAGAACCAAGGTACAATTTGAAAATTTTCTAAACATCCCTAATTTCTTCTTCTCAAATTGCTCTTAGTGGATCGGCCTGTGCAACACAAATTTAGGCATGTGCGAAATAATTTGAATACGAGGCAACCACTATAATACATTGGTCCTTCTTTGTTTGTTTTTTTTTTTTTTTTTTTTTTAAAAAAATTTTTAAAACGTTTTTCACATTATTAAGTTGTGTTGATTTTTTCCTTTTTTTTAATTTAATTTTTTCTATGAAATTAGTTTTTCTCGCTGGTTATCAGCTTTGACCTTTTTTTTTTGGTTTTCTGAAATCATATTTCTGTACTACTCAACATTTAAAATTAAAAAACTGGCATTCAACAAACGGTCAACCCAATTAAAAAAAGTCAACGCTAGAAAAAAGTTTGTTAAAAAAAAAATCGGCGATTCAAATGCCAGTTTTTTAATTTTAACTAATTGGGTTTCATTGGTCAAAATTAATTAGTTGATAAAATTAAGGTTAAATTAAATTGGATGAAACTTTAGGAGTGTTTTAGAAAGTTTCGAAATAATAGAGAGGTCTTATTGCAATCAATAAATGAATTCCAACAACCACCTTCTTCATCATCTTCTTACAGCAAATATATTACTTATAAATAAACTTAATGCACGACTCATCACTTGACAATATATATATATACATGTCTCTCATTCAGCAAGAAGAAAACACACACAACACACTCTCACACACACACTAAACAATTTCATTTTATTATTATTATTTTATATATATTCAATGGAAGATGAAATTTTAGAACCAGTTAGTCCAACTGGACAATACTTCACCAGCTCTGTTATTTCAGTATCTATAATTGCTGTTCTTGAATTAGAATTCCCGATCGACCAATCCCGGCTCGACACGTTGCTCCAAACTCTCTTTCTTCCAATCAACCCTCGTTTCTCCTCTCTCATGGTAATTGCTACATTTTCTTCATTACTGTGTGTTTTCGTGTGTTAATTTTATATATATAAATATATATATATTTTTAAATTCCATTGAAGAGATACACTTTTACTTTATGTAGGCTTACAAGGTTTTAAGGAGGCCATAAATCTTTTTTAAATAATAGAATAATAAAGCCTTTATGACCAAAAAAAAATATGAAATAGTGGGTGATAAATTAAACTAAGATTAATTAAATAATAAATCACAGGTGAAGGACAAAAATGGAAAAAAATACTGGAAAAAGGTGGAAGTGGATATCCAAGAGCATATCAAAATCCCGAATTTCCCACGTGGAAAATCACCTGAATTCTACGAGGATTGCCTGTCTAGATATTTGTCCAAAATATCCCTAGAACAATTCCTAGAGAGCAGGGCATTATGGGAATTTCATATAATAAATTACCCAACAAAAAATGCAGCTCAAAATCTTGTCTTCAAACTTCACCACTCACTTGGAGATGGCTACTCGCTAATGGGAGCTCTTCTCTCTTGCTTGCAAAGGGCAGATAATCCTCAACTCCCATTGACTTTCCCTTTATTGAATCAGAAAATACAAACTAATGATAATAAAAATAATATTTTATCAAGGGCTTTTGATAGTGTGTATGATTTTGGATGGAGTGTTTTGAAGAGCATTGTGCTTGAAGATGATCAAACTGCGATACGATCGGGCGATGATGGAGTCGAGTTCCGGCCAATCACAATCACCACCATGGTCTTCTCATTTGACATGATCAAGAAAGTCAAGGCCAGTCTTCATGTGGTATGTATTTATACTCTCATTCACCATTCTATATTTGTATTAATTGGAGTTTCAATAATGCATTATTTTTCCTTGTTATACCGTTAGTTATCAACTTTATTACAAATATTAGAGTTAAATACACTTTGTAACACTGTAGCCTTTACCCCATGTACTATGAAGTGCGACAAAAAAGTCGTTGTCGTCCATTTCTGTTAAAAAACTGTTCAGTTGTTGACTATTCGTTACATTACCCCTCGAAAAGTTTCAGACCAAAATACCCCTTTATTGTGTATAAAAGGTGTACACCATTCTTCACTCATTTGTACTCAATTTCATCCCGATTTCTTCCTATTTTTTGTTCCCAACCTTTTTTTTACCCAAAAGTTCTGAACAATTTTTTATATTCTAGAAATTAATTTTAATTTCTTTTTAAATTTATAATCATTCGGTTTAAAAATGTCTTCCGGTAGTTCAAGTGTAGCAAAAGTGTCAAAACAGATATCCAAAATAAAAAACATAATTCAAAACCATCAAATATATCAATAAAAACCTTCAAAATCATCTGAAAATAAACCTACACAAGCTTCAATGATCCCCAACGTCAATAGTAAAAGTGAAATCATCCAAACCAATGTTCAAAATCATCAAAAGTGTCAAAAGTAACAAAAATACCTAAATATAATGCCAAAACATGCCAAATCTATCGAAAGTACCAAAGCGAACATCCAAATTATCAAAATATAATTTCAAATCATGAAATATCAAATATACACCAAAAACATTCAGAATCATCTGAAAATAAAGCTACACAACCTTCAATGATCCCCATTATTAGTAGTAAAAGTGAAATTGTTGGTTGGAATAGGTTGACTTGACAACAGCACATTCCCAAATCTTGTGTTCAATTTTGGGTGTTGTTGGGTTGTTATTCCATCCGCGGAAGCTGATCTTCCTTCATGCCTTGGTGGTGGAACATTCATAATAAATTAATGAATACTTTGCAGGCCTTCAAGTTTAAATTAAGAAATTTGAAGAGAGTTAAATAATCTGCCTAGGAGGTCTAAAATCTCTCACACTATTCCAATTTCCCACTCCAAGCATTGTACTCTTTCTACCTCTAACTTTTCTTATAGTCCCTCTAGCTCAATTCCTATTAGAGTTTGTTGCACCAGTTGTTGGGTTGGATGTCATACGGCAACAGTAAAACCTTGAGAAGTTTGTGTTACCAAAAATGTAAAAATGTATTATTCGTTATGACTAGTATAGTTACAATGCAAAAGTTGAAAGTTATAATATAAACCGGGATCAACATTCGGGATATCCAAGTTCTTTAACCATATCTAGCAGCTCAAAATACGACATTAAATCAGGACCAATATTCGGCACAATTGAAACCATTCCCCCAACGTAATTGAAATAAGTTTGGAACCTCCCTCCATGATTAATTCTAAGGGTAAACAATGGATCGGACATTTTAGACTACATAAAAAACATGAAAATAAATGAATTACAGAAGCACATTGTAGCTAAAATTCCAAAAATTGAAAATCCCTAAACCCAAAAATCCCCAAAAATTGTACTGAATATAGAAACCCTCTCTTCAAAGCCCTTTTGAAATAAATTCCAAAAAAAAAAATCATTTTTTTTCTAAATTCCTGACCCTTAAATCCCAAAATCCCCAAATCCAAAAGAACATAAATATAAATATAAAATACAGCTTCTATTGTGAATAGTAATCCCAAACCATAAATTTTGTGTTGGTCGTTCTCTAAAAATACGTTTGTAACCCAACCCCTGAAGATCTAAACCCAAATTGTGCGTGGGATAAAAACTCCCAAAATATCTCAACTCTACATTAAGCAATAATTTGAGAACGCACATTTATCTACACCAAGTTCTCTACGAATTGCTTCCAAAACGTATATGTTGTGTTCAATCGTGTGGAGAAGATGAAAGGGAAGAAGAGGGGAAGGTTTCTCACTTCTATTCTTCTTATGTTCTGTACGTGTAAGATTTTTTTTCCCCAAGTCAGAAAATCGTAATATTTTTTTAAAATAAAAGTAAGGGTAAAAAGGTAACTACACTGCAAAAACTATCGCCGTTAGAGACGTGAGAGTTGACTAGTAAAGTGAGCGGCCGTTTTGTTGCATTTCATAATACATGAGGGGTAAATGCGATTGTAGTGATAGTACAAGAGTGCAAACTGTATTTAACCCTAAACATTATCTATGTCTCTTATCACTAATAGTAAAGGCCATTTTAATAAATAAAAAAAATATGTAATGTTTCTAAATAAAATAGCTTTCAAATAGTTTTAATAATATAATTTCAATTGTATTTACCGACAGACGATAAATGATGTGATATGTGGAGCATTGTTCTTGGGGATCAGACTGTACATAAAGTCAACAGAACATGAACATGATCAGTCAAATGCAAAGACAACGGCATTGGTTCTTCTCAACACAAGAAATATCAACGGCTACAAATCAATCTCGGAAATGGTCAAACCGGATGGCGAGTCACTATGGGGAAATCAATTTGCTTTTCTTCACGTTCCAGTTCCTAAATTAGCTATTTCAGACCCAATTGATCCTCTCAGTTTTGTTCTCGATGCTCAGAAAGTAATTAAGAAGAAAAGAAATTCTGCTGCAGTGATTTTAACTAGCAAATTGCTCGAAACATTGCGGAAATTAAGAGGCCCTGAGGTAATTTTTAAATATTTTTTTTGAATAAATAATTGTATTTTTATTTTTTTCGTGTTAATTAATAAATTGTGTGTGTGCGCGTCTATATATATACAGTTAAACCTCTATAAATTAATACAGTCGGGACTAGAGAAATTCTATTAATTTAGCGAATTATTAAATTATCGAGTTAATAATTTAACACGTTTTCACCGAGTCGGGACCGAGAGAATTAAATTATTATTTAATCGAGGTTATTAATTTATCGAGGTTCTACTGTATCAGGTGACAGCTGAATACATACATAAAACATTGAAGAACACAAGCATGACAATTTCAAATATGATAGGACCAATGGAAAGAATGGCTTTATCAAATCAACCAATCAAAGGCATGTATGTCATGAATGTTGGTGTTCCTCAGGTATTAAAATTTAATTTCTTATTATTTTTAATTTAAAAAATAATACTAATTTCGGAAATATTATATTGTGTTTAAAAGGTTACGATTACTGTTTTTAGTACCAACTAAATACTCCGTCTGTCCCATAATATTATCTGTCATTTTTTCCTGTTTTAACATAATTAATTCAAATCTAAATATTAACTATATTTTAAATTTAATTTTATAGTTTATCATAATTCTCATTATATGTAATTATTATTTTTATTCATCAATTTTTGCAGAGCTTAACAGTAACAATTTTGAGTTACATGGGACAGTTGAGAATTGCTTTGGGAACAGAAAATGATTTAATTGATGCACCAAAGTTCAGACAGTGCGTTCAAGATGCCTTTGATATGATTTTCAATGCAGCGATCCCTTTTCCTTTTATTTAAAATAAATAAATACAATTGAAAAAAATAAACTTTCATTTTAAGGTTCCTATTTTATTTATATATATTTTTTTTAATCTGCCTATGTTGTTTAATACATGGGTTAAGATTCGAGTGCGGCACTATGTTATGATTTTCTTGTAATAAATATTTTTTTTCTCCAGATGTTTCTCTTCATTTACGTCTAATAGGGCTTTAATAGAAAATATTTTTTTGTTATATATATATATATATTTATAAAAGTAAGAAACGCTAGGTCAACTTATGAAACTCTAATGATATATTTGTAAAAAAATTAAAATTAATTATATCTCTTATTTTTCAGCCTTTTTTTTCCTCTAATGACTTTCATTGTTTAGATCTGCAAATCGGTTAGTAAAATCCTAATTCACTCGCATATATATTTTTTTATTTTTTTTTATAAACAATTCATTTTGTGGTTAATATTTCTTACTTATAACAACTAAATGGAAGTCAGGTGACTTGATTAAATCTATGTGTTTTGTTGAGATTTGTATAATCATATTTGTAAGAATATTAACGTAGTTTTGGCTAATTCAAATTTCATAATTAATTATTTTAATATAATATATGATTTATTTTTTTAACACAATTTAATAATTATATACCTAAATTTTCATCATTTTTGAAATGCTAGTCGTTAGAATTGCTAGTATTTTTCAATGATGCGTTTTTAATGAAGAGATAATATCATTTATGTTTTTGAAAGAGAAGAGATAATATTATTATTTATTAGAGAAGAAAGGGTACCACTATACTATTAATGAACTATAAAGACATTAGGTAGGGTGAAAATGATGTAAATTGAGTTGAACCTACCCATGAGCTCGTTGAGTCGGTTCGGCTAAAGCTCGACCTTGAATTTTTCTAGCTCAAACTTACTGATGAGCGAGCATAGCTCGAACATATTCTTAGTTATTCGTCACTTCGCGGATCTTTTATTAATATTAACTTTTTTTTTTTTTATTTTCATTATAAATATCATTAATATAAAATTTAATAATGCAATTCTATTAATAACTAGAAAATAAACTACAATTTCTTTTTTTCTTATTTCATACCTTTTTATTATAATTTATAATCACAAAAACATTAGAAAATTTTCAAAAAAGTACACAAAATGAGTTCAAGCTCGAGTTTATAAAATAAAACTCGAAGTGCTTGAGAGCTCAAGCTCGCCAAAATACCAAAGCTATACTCGAGCTCGCCTCGTTTTACGCACCTAGACATAGGGTTCAAATCTAGTTGTATATTTTAAAAAAAATAAGAAATTGATCACAAGAACAAAAAGGTAAACTAAAGCAATTTATATGAATTATGTCTGAAATATTAAAGTAACTTGATGAAAAATCCAATGAAAAAGATGATTATCACTTGGTCTTTGAATTAAGGTTCTTCTAAGAAAATGTAAAATATAAAGAAGAAAAAATCAATTCATGATTAATTCGAAAACCTTGAGCATCAAAACATGACTTATTTGCCTTTGTCCTTGCCTTTCCCCTAATTGCCCTTGTTCTTGCCCTTTATTCCTCTCAAAATGACAGTCTCTCCAGAATCAGTTGAGTGCGCAACAGAAGGAGATGAAGATGAATACTTCTTGCCAATACACTTCGCCGCTACTTCAGCCACATGGCAGAACTGTACACAAACATAATTAATAAGAAAAACAAAAGTATACTATAATCATGTGTACGTTTCTGTACATCATGTCAAAAAGAAAAGGAAAAAAAACTGTTTTATGTTCGTTTATGTTCAATTTTTTCATTAATATTCAAGAAAATTATTTTTTGGGTATCTTCGGTCCATAAAAAAAATTACATATGGCAGACCTAGTGTGTAACCATCCATAAATATATGTCTACAAGAAAATGAAAATTGAAATGTTTAGTATACCTAAACACACATCCAACATATTTATATTATAATATATTATTTCTTCACTTTTTCATGAATATTCTAGAAAAACAAATATTCAGTGCGAGAAGAAAGTTAAATCTAACGTTTAAGAAATTTCTAGGTTCCCCGCTAACTTTTATTGTTTTGCTATTTAAAAAAATTAAATATAAATTTCTTTTAATGTATTACTTATTCATTCAAACGATCATTCTCCATGCTTAGCTGGCGTTCACTGAAGGACATATCTCGCGGCAAACATGCGACCACAACCAATAGAACAAGCATTGATGAGAGATTCTCTAAGTCTCGAGTTCTCTTCTTCAAGCTTCTTATTTTCAACTCGAATAATAGTATTTTCTCAATGCTCATGTTTCACCTGCAAATCAAAGAAAATAAAAATCAAATAGGCTTCGAGGATAATATTTTATAAATCTTTTGATACAAAACCATCTCCTTATCGCCTTCATTTGAATCCTCTTGTTTTGGAACCAAAATTTAATTTGTAATGGCTCCATCCATAATTCTTCACCAAGTTCATTTCTTTCCTTTTTGTTGGGGTGAGGATTGCACCAAAAATACCTATAAATAAAAATTTAATTTAATATTAGAGCAAAAATAAAGGTAACTTATACAAAAAAATGGAGAACAAAGTATATCAATGTTTTGATATTAATAATTCATATTTATATGAATAAATTCCATTTTCTAAGAATTATTTACTCCTCAAGTCGTTGAATTTGATGGAGACTGTGGCGCTGATGACGTTTTCTATTTTGTCCTTGAGTTTCGCTATTATAGCAAATAGAATTGACGTTCTCTTCATTTTGTGTGCCGTCACTCTGAGACATGCAGTTAGAATTCATGCCGGAATTTCACCTTAAGAGGAACTAAAGAAAAATATTTTTTTTTATGAAAAAATGTAACTATGGAAGAATGGAAACATTGAATGGTGAATTTATTGAGAACTTTGTGGTCGAAAGGGTGCAATTAATTTATAAAATTGTCTTGCCATGTCGGAAAGGATAAAACACCCCTGTACTATGGAGTTTGTATCATATACCCCCTGTACTACACAAAAATACAAAAACTCCCCTCACATTACATTGTTTCCAAAATATGACGAAAATACCCCCGTTAAGCCTATAAATATATTTGTTTGAGCCATTTTCCACTATATTTATTAACTTTTTCGGTCACTTTTAATTGAAATTTTTTGATATTTTTATTTTTTTTCTCCAAAACATTTAATTACTAAGAGTTTTTTTTTTAATTTTCTGAATAAAACCTTTTATTTTTGTCGTTTTGAATTTCTTCTTTTTTTGTTAAATCTTACGGTAGTTCAAATTCTCAACAATCATAGGATTGTAAAGATGTTTGTAATCCTAGGATGTTTGAACTACAAGAAGACATTTAAGAAAAAAAAAATGAAGAAACTCAAAATGACATAAATAAAAGTTTTTATTCATAAAATAAAAAAAAATACAAGCAATTGGATGTTTTGGAAGGAAAAATATAAATACCAAAATTTTCCACGTAAAATTGACTGAAAATGGTAAAATATTTAGTGGAAAATGGCTCAAACAAACCATTATGTGTGTGTGTGTGTGTGTGTGTGTGTGTGTGTGTGTGTGTGTGTGTGTGTGTGTGTGTGTGTGTGTGTGTGTGTGTGTGTGTGTGTGTGCTTGAGTAGGGGTATTTTGGTCATATTTTGGAAAAAAAATGTAATGTGAGGGGGGTTTTTGTATTTATGTGTAGTATAGGGGGGTAAATGATACAAAGTTCATAGTACAGGGGTGTTTTTGTATTTCACGCTACAAAATATATATAAGAGAATAGCGATTACATAACTTTCTTTACATTTGAATTTAACATACATAATTAAGCATTTTGTGGAGCCAACTTGAAATTTAGAATTACCATATGATGCTCATGCTAATGATGCACTTGCCAAATAAAAAGAAGAAGAAAACGACAGAAGTCACGATATACATACCTCTGTAAGCAAAACGAATTCATGACACGTAAGTGATTCGTGTAATAAATTGGTATTACAATAATAGTGGTCAATCGCCTTGTATATTTTCAAAATTTACGAATATAATATTTGTAAAATTTAAAGTATTATACTTTAATACTATAATATTAACTTGTTTAAGAACGCGACTTTTGTATGAGCTTTGTACAACTAGTTTTTTTAAAATTTCAAATATTGTTTCAAACTGGGGAAGTGGCGCATGGACATATTTGAATCCCAGACCTCTACTCTAATAGTCGAGGCTATGTACTCCTAATGAGTGGTGTTTTATTATTTTTTTGGGCATGGAACAATGCATCGAAATTGAGACAAAATTCCATATGTTTTGTTAACAATAAGGTGTTTTCACTCAATTCAAATAATTTGATTTCGATGTTTCTAACGGTTTTGGATCGAAGTAAGAGTTTATGTATAATATTTACATAAATTTATAGTACCCGATTCACTTTTAGATTCCTAATATTCCAAAATTCAGTTTTCCCCCAAAAATGTATTTATTATATTAATATTATCATATTTTATATGATGGTTTTTACATATATAAGTGAAAAATATTATAATGTAATTACTAAATAATTAAAGTGGCATGATTAGGAGAATGTTTTGTGAAAACAATTATATGTCTGGAGTTGAGAAAACATGTATTTTATAAAAGGTTAGAAATTTTTTAAACAAATGAAACTGTTTTAAAATTTTAGAAAATTACATAATTTTGTATTATTTTTTTTTTATAATTTTTTTTAACCAGGTAAATTTTAAATTTCTTAAAATGCATATCAGTCCAATTTATCGATATCCATCCTGACACTGAACAAGAAAAGATAATGATTTAAAATATTAAACAAAGTTCGGATTTTAGACAGTTGATAAGGTCGTTTTTGCAGTTATTGCTTGTTATATGATCTGGTCACATATTTAATTTTGGACATTCTTATTTTTATGGCTAAATCCAAGTTTGAATCTCAATGTCAATATCTTTTACGTCAAATTCGTTATATATAGTTAGGCTAGTGCGAGTTACATATGCAGTATGCCAGTTATTAAATAAAAGTGTAAATTATCCAGTGCATCTATAAAGTTGACCGCAAACTCTTTAATACAAAAATATAGCAACCCTCTTAAATTGACTTTCACGTTTATATGGCCCATATATATTCACACACATTTTGACTTTTGAGAGTATCGAAGCCCAACTATCCTACTTGCTAGTGCTATAAAGCTAGTCATTG